TTTCTGTAGTCCTCTAGGGGCCACCGCCACCACCACCCCTCTTCCCACACTGTCTCGCGCGCATTGCCATCTCGCCCGAGGCCGCAATTCCTTGAAACATACCAAGGGGTCGCACTGTGGAGGCACAACATGTGTGTTGCTAAATGCGACAAGCGCGCGATTCCGAGGGCACAACCCCACATAAGATATGGCAGCTTTGCGCTCTCGAGGCGACAGTGCTCATCAGACATTCGAAGAAGGCCCCCGAAAGCTTCTCGACGGCCCAAGACGGCCCCACGACGGTCATCAGACAGCCGCCATACGGGAAAAAGTGCCCCAAGGCGGCCCACCAGAGTTCCAAGACAGCGAGCGAAGGCCGAAAGACGGGCCACCATTGCGCATGATGGCCAAGAGCGCTGCCGCCGTTCCCCAGCATGAAGGTCGCGACCCAAAGGACCGCGCGGAGCCCCAGGATGGGCCACTCGCCCCGCGCCAGCGGGGCCAGCAGATCGAAACCTGCAGCGATGGACCTGCGCAGCTGCCCTCTGACGTCGAAGCAGACGGCCAAGGTCCTGTAGTCGTCGAGCGCGCCACCAGCGGGCGAGGCATGGGCCCGATCCGGCGCGGCCCCTGCGGCGGCGGCCCCTGAGCATGGCCCAGGAGCGGGCGGGGCCCGCCGTGGCGGCGGCGAGCCCGGCGTGCCTGGCGGCTCCCGGCGCAACGCCTGCAGCGGCGGCTGGAGCTGCGGCCGGCGGCGGGAGGGCCAGCGCGGCCTGGGGGCCGGGGCGCCGGCGCCCGGAAGCGGGACACCACCGCGGGCTGCGGCGCCCAGGAGCGCAGCCAGGCCGCCAGCCGCTCCACCGCCGGCTCCAAGGACAGTCGCGCCACCACCTGCATATGGGGCGGCGGGCAGGCCCGCGGCGGGGGGCCCGGCCACGGAGGCCGGCCCGAGGGCGCCGACTGCGCCGCCCGCTGGGAGACGACGGTCGCGCCACCTCCAGCGGCGGCGAGCCGCACGTCGTTAACCTGGATGAAGCCGTCCGCCATCGGCACGCAGTTGAAACAACTCCTGAACCGAGAGCGGCTGCTGAAGTCGTGCAGCGCCACTCCCGCAGCGCCTGCGGGCGTCGTTCCGTCGGGACCGCAGCGATACCAGACGGTGATATCGTCGATATCGGCCGTGCAATGCTCCACGAAAACGTCGAGGTCTGGGGTCACCACGGCGGCGCGCAGCGGATCCAAGCGGCTGACGCGCACCACGATGCGGCGACGAAACAGAGGTGCACCAAGCACATCGTAGACGATAAGCAGCTCGTCGCCAACGCGCATCAGGCGGCCACCAGCCTCCACTCGCCACGAAGAAAGCGCCGATCAAGCTTGCCAGCCGGGCTCCTGTCCTCCCAAACCGCGGGCGTTCCCTCCAGCAGCGCCGCCGGAGGCCCGGCCGCTCGCGCGCCTGAGAACAGGCGCCGCGCCCGGCTGCGCGCGCAGCCCAGCAAGTGGTGAAAGGCTTTCCACAACAGGAGGGTGAGGAAACCGAGGCCGAGCTCGATGCCCCACGAGAAGCCTCCCTTCTCCGGCTCGGGGCAGGCTGGGCAATGGTCGGGGCAATGCTTCCACGACGGGAGCGGTGGCGCCGGCAGGCGCCAGGCGATCTCCGCGCAGAAGTCCGGGACCCAGGCGAGGGCGGCACGGCCGCCGGGCAGCTCCACGCTGGCGAAGCGGGCGCCAGTGCCGCCCGCGGCGGCTCCGGCACGGGCGGCGCCGCAGGCCGCGGCGCCGGCAAGGGGGAGTTCCACCGCCGCGCCACCCAGGCGGCGAAGAGCTGGAACGCGATCAGCCCTCCCCGCGGGCCACAGCGCGCATGCAAAGGCTGAGCGGTGCGACGCCGGCTATGGCCCTTCACAGGAAAGGCTTGAGCCGAAGCGGTTTCGGAGAACCCTCGCGGCCTTCAACGCCCCAGCGATTTTCGTTCAAGAACGGGCCATCATCATCAACATCATCATCAGCAGCATCATCATCATTACCATCAGCATCAACATCACCATCATCAACATCATCATTATCATAATCAGCATCAGCATGATCATCATCATGATCAGCATCAGCATTATCGTCATCATCATCATCATCAGCAACAGCATCAACATCATCATCACAACACAACAAACATCACCAGCAATAGCGGCATCAGTCTCATCTGCATAGTCGTCAGCATCGCCATCATCACCTGCATCACCATCAGCAGCACCATCTTCACCATCAGCATCATCATCATCATCATCATCATCATCATCATCATCACCATCATCATCATCAGCAGCATCAGCATTAGCATGATCGTCATCAATAACATCAGTATCATCATCACCATCATCATCAGCATCATCAGTATCGGTCTCACCGTGGTCGTCGTCATCATCATCATCATCATCATCATCATCATCATCATCATCATCATGATCATGATCATCATCATCATCATCATCATCATCATCATCATCATCATCATCATCATCATCATCATCATCATCATCGTACACAACATCAACCTTCTCATCAACACCCTCATCCTCACCACAGTTCTCCCTCACTTGAGAAGTCGCCACCCAGAATGCTGGGCTGGCACAGTGGCGGAATTTCCCGCAGGCAGCTGGGTAACTATGAAATGCCACAAAACCAAAAACACTTTGGCCAAACATTGCCACGCTTAGCACTCCCGACGAAGGACTCGTCCGTGGCACGGCCCCCTCCGCTTAGGTACCCCTCGCGAAAACTACCACACTGACAAAAACGGCAACCACAACAACGGCAACATCGTTGGCGCCACCCTAACAATGTGCACGGTGGCCGGAACGTAAACCACTACATAAAACCGACCCAGACGACTCTGACTCGCATATGATCTGGCGGCAGACCAGACGCGGAGATGGGCGACAGTAACGAGGACGATTACCCCCTCCCTGTCCACTACCCCCAATCCTCGTAGACGCCGAGAGGTCCAAGTGCTGCCCTGACTCGCACATCGATAAGATCGCTTGCAGACAAGAAGCCACCGAATCGAATCCAACCCGCGGAGGATGGCCACCCTGGGGGGTGAGCTGCCATCTCGATCGGCACAGTGTACAGGCATCAATTCACATCGCCAGACCGATCGCGCTGAGGACAGCTATACAGCCCTGCATCTCGATGACATCCCAAACCTACCGAAATCCTCCAAAAGAGCCCGACAGCTCGCCATCCCACCCTCCTCCTCCTCCTCCTCCTCCTCCTCCTCCTCCTCCTCTTCTTTCTCGTCCTCCCCCTATACCCCTCCTCCTCCCCCGAGAAATCACCTCCTACTTCTCTTGGAGGAGAACTAACAAGGGTGAGTAAACGTGGGGACGACGGGGGTGCAGCGGGTGCACATAAGTGACCCCAGAGGGACCCTCAAGGGCCCCTAAACTGCCGCCGCGGCCCCAAGATGTGCTGGACAGGTACACCTCTTTGGCGGCGAGCACAAGGGGATAGAGCAAGGGGGGGCGATCTTCTAAGGCGGCGGGGGGCCGACTTCTGAGAAGCCTTCTTAGAAGCCCCCGGCGCTTCTAAGGCGGCTCCCGCCGTCTAGCGTTTCAGCAGCCAGCCCCGGGCGCCGTCGGCCCAACTTCGTCCTGGGGTACTGTCCTCCACGTTGCCTGCTTGCCGCCCCTCCCCTCCGAATCCGACATCACGATTGCGTGTGACGTGGACTCCGTTCGACCCCTCCGCTTGGGCTGGGGTCTTATTCTGATCCTGGGAACTTCCCCGATGGCCACTGGGGCCCTGAAGCAGGCCTCCGCGAGCCCAAAAAGACGGAAATCTCGCTTTCGCAATTACTTGCCGGGCCAGAACTTCTCCACTTCCATCGCAGAAGGGAACCGATTTTCCTAGAAGTCAAGCAGGCAGTGGACATGTGTACCCGCCTTGGCAGTCGGTTCCATATCCCGGGGGCGGGGGGGAGGCAAAGGACACATATCATCGGCCTCTGGGGGTCCTGGGACATCGGTTCCCATGGGAAAGGGATATGTCTCAACTCCCGACTCGAACTGTTTTGTGATGCCAGGATCTCTCTGGGCTGCCGATCATCCTCTCTTAGATTCGAGGTCAATGATGCGAAGCCCATCCTAACAAGCAGCGGCAGCGGCAGACGAGAAGCATGGACAAGGACAGAAAGAGAGAGAGAGAGAGAGAGCAAGGACGATGTGCGCCAGGTGTCGTAGATTGCCAGACGTGGTCCCAGCCAGTCGGGCCATTTTGGAAGTCCCTGATGCCCTCTGGGCCTTGTGAGGAGTGCTCTAGAAGCCGTCTGGGCCTCCCTGGGGAATCTGGGGCCACCTTGGGATATAGCAACCGTCTGGGCATCCCTTGGGAATCTGGGGCCACCTTGGGGTATAGCATCCTGTTGGCACCGACCGGAAATCGGCCGATAGGGGCTCGGGCGCCATGGGCGACCCCTGGACCTGCCGCACGGGCCAGAATCTCAAAGGGAAAACCAGGCGTAGCTACGAGGACGCCCCCCCAAAAGAGGGCGAACAACACCCCAAGCACCTCGACCATCGAAGCTCGAACCTCAAGAGCCAGTCATCTCCCCCTCCAGCGAGGGGTAACGACAGGGGGCGACCAACTCCGAGAGGGGGAGACGTCGACCCGAACAGTCCTGGGCGGGCTGGGCCATCGGGCACCTGCTGGCGATGCAGGTGGAACCCCCCCTTCCCCGGAGCCCGCCCCCCCGCCCCCACCCCGACGCCTGACGCCTGCCCCTGAGAGCACCAACAACAAGCCACGAGACTCCCCCTAAAACAGTGCTAGGATCGGGATAAATCGCTCCAGAGCGTTCTGGAGCGCTCTCTGAGCGTTCCGGAACGCTCTGGAGCGGCCGCGGCGCCCGATACATCCTCCAAACCCGCCGATTCTCAGAGATTTCGAATTATCCCGATCCGATTTTGTCACGATCTTCGCGTCGTTTGAACGAGACTCCCCCTCCGGTCCCGGGCGGGCGGCACCCCTTGGCAAAGCAGAGGGCCCCGGCCACCACGGGGCCGCCCTCCGGGGCCCGGGCGAGCACCAGCAGCACGCGGTGGGCGCACTTGGCGGCCTCGGCGCGGCCAGGCCCCCTCCCGCCCAGCACCTCCGGCGGCGACCCGGAGAGGAGTCGCGCCGCAGGGTTTCTGCTCAGTTCGGCGAACAGAGACCACTTCGAGACATCCCCTGCTCTCTTTTCGAGAGGGAGGGCGAAGGAGTCCTCCTCCTCCTCCTCCTCCTCCTCCTCCTCCTCCTCCTCCTCCTGGTCCTCCTCCTCCTTGGTGAGCGCGACCACAAGGCCCGCACAACGCGGCCTCAACATCGATGCAACTCAATGGGGCACCAGGCAGATCAAGAACGCCGCACTGTGGCCCACAGAAACAGACGAATAATACAAATAATGGTCGCAAGTATAATAAAAATGGTAATGCAATAACTAAGGTTACTATTAACATCAATAATGGTAACCATAGTAAAAATCATAACAGCAAGAATAATAAGTCAACTCATAATCTTGGACCCGCTGTCAACATCCCCCCGATGCCCCGACGGCCAACGATGTCACACACAGAATGGCGAGACGGTGGCGAGAGATTGACGGCCGCTTCTGGGCCCCAGGAGACCGTCAAAGAGGAGCCCAGGATGACAAGCTGTTCCCAGGGGAGTAGTCCTAAGGGAAGGGATCAAGGTCACACGTGGTCTGGAGCATGGTGCGGGAGGGCGACGACGCACAGGACGATGAGAGGTCTGTTGTTGCAACGTCACATGATGAGCTTGGGAACGATACCTTCTTGGACGTAACGAACTGCATATGTGTTCCCCCCCGCTCTAGGACAGCGCTCCCCGCATGATCCCTTCGATGCCCGCCAGACCAGCGGCGAGCCGAAGCCCTCCACCGGCCTGAGGCTCTGGCACACGGGGGAGAGGGAGGAGGGGAAAGACGAAGGGAGCGTTATATAGGTACGTGCGTATGTACACGTATTGCGTATACTTTACCATTGTAACTCAGTGATGCGTACAAATGCGTATTATGTACACAACGGGTAAACACATATGCAACGCGGCTAACTCTACACGTATAGCCACCATCCAGTCGAAAAGCAATGAATAGAGTGACCTCGAGCGTCCTCACTCTGGTCCTCAATCACTTGGCAAACAAAAATCCTGACCCCCAAGCAACGGACGCTTCCCACGTGACTCGTGGGGCTTCCTGCTGGGCTATTTCCGAAGCTAGAGGCCCCCAGGACAGGCCAAGAGGGCCCCAAGAGGACCCAAAGACGGTCTGAGAGGCTCCCGAGAAGGACATAGCGCCTCAAAACGGCTTCATCTTGCATCACCACGGACCTCTTGAGGCCCCAAGAGGGCTCCAAGAGATCCCCCAAGAAGGCCCCAAGAGACACCACAAACTGATGTCCCGTAGGTTTGGCAAATTTCAGCGTTCTCGCCTATTCGGGCTTCCAACGCTCAAAGACTGCCCAAGAGGTCCACAAGCCCACCCCAAGACAGCCTAAAAGGCCCTCATCAGGGCCCCAAGACGGCCCAGGAGAGCCGCAAGACGGCCCAGGAGGCTCCTAAGACGAGCCCAAGAGGCCACCAAGAGTGGGACCACAACCTGACATATCGAGACTTCCACCGCAAGATGGCCAAACGATTTCCCATAAGTCTATAAATACTATAACCACGCGCGCGCTTCGCGCGCGCTTCGGTTCCAGCCGCTCCCGAAAGACTCGCATCGCAGGTTTCCAATGAGGGATGCAGGAGCGATTCTGGAGCTCCTTTGCGGGTGGTATAAGGACCAGTGGCAATTCTATGTTGGGACCTCAGGGACATGTCGGAGAGTCCTAGACCTTCTTCAACGCTTCCTGCGCTTCTCTGGATCCACTCGGGTCCGGAGAAGGAGAAGCTGAACAAAGAAGAGGGATGCCCAAGTCTGGCCCCGAAGTGAACGCCACCAAGGCCAAACCACGGAGCATAGAAGGCCGCCCCCTCCCCTACTGGCCACGCATCTGGGGCCAGACCACGGTGCAACGAACACAAGAAAACTCACCTGGGTCGCACTGGCAAGGCCTCAAATTCGATGGCGTTGGCTTCTCGGCGGCATTATCGAAGAGCTTCCGCGCCACCCCCAGCCGTCTGTGGGCCGCCTTAAAGCTTAGAGCTTCTTGGACGCCCGCTGGAGATGCGGTGTTCGGGGCCTTTGGGGGCCGCTTCGAGGGCCGTCGTCTGCATCCTGGCCATCTTGGAAGTCTCTCGGGGCCGGTTTGGGGGCATCTTGGGCTGCTTTGGAGCCCTATCGGGCCGTACCAGGGCCGTTAACCTCCAGGATGGGGCTCTCGGGGCCGGTTTGGGGGCATCTTGGGCTGCTTTGGAGCCCTGCCGGGCCGCACCAGGGCCGTTAACCTCCAGGATAGGGGGGGAGAATGGGGTGCGACGGCCCGCGCACTCTCTCTACACCCTGCGAAATGCTTAAGAAATCATGGGTCAAGAAATTCATAGTCTCAGAACTTGAATAAAAACCCAACGTTTCCATTAAAATCTCAAGATTTACATTGAAACGTTAAGAATTATCGAGACTCTGGCCGAAAACTTAAGTTTTCTTAAGCATCGCCTAAGGTGTATATCGCTCTCTCCCTCTCTATCTTGCGGCGCGCAACCGGAGGGCGGGGCCCGGGCGAGGGGGACGGCCTTTCTCAGGGGACCCCCGCCCCCCGCCTCTTCGAGGGCGCGAGGCGCGTGGCCATGGAGGGGGGGGGGCGTTAGCTCCGAGAGGATCTAGACTTTCATGCGCTGGCCTCTCTGAGAAGAACGCACACGTCCGAACGGCGCCAGGCCGAAATCGGCACGGTGGCCGACTGCGCGGTGACCTCAGCATATCCCCCAGAGAGATCACCTCACGGTCCGTCGCCGCACGGTACTGGAGCCCCTGGAGACCCCCCCGCTGCCCGAGACGTCCTCGGTGGACGACCCAGGCCCAAGATCGCGCGGCCACCCCGAATCCACACCGACTCACCACACGGTGTGGTCACCGCGCCGTTCTGCAAGAGGAAAAAGAACTATGCACATACACCGATTCTGGCCAGGCCCATCCTGAGCCCAGGATCGGTGCATACGCCCTCCTACCTTGGCCAGGAAGGCATATGCACCGATCCTGGGTCAAGGATGGGCCTTGCCAGGATCGGTGCATGTGCATAGTTCTCTTCGCCCGATCTGCGGGCCCCCGAGCTTGGAGGCCCCGCCGCCGTCCTGGACAGCCCGCCCCCTCTGAAGAGCAGCGCTCCGGCCCGGACCGCACAGTGCGCGAGACCGCGGCGGCCCTCGGCGAAAGCCTGTGCGCCCCGCGCCTCCCAGGCGACTCGCGCCCCCCTGGGGTATACGCAGCAGGGAAGCCCCCAGACCCCTGGGCCCACCATCTCTTCTGGGCGCAGGTGCTCTACGGCGATATCCCCAGACCACGGATCGGCTCACCTTTCCCCCTGCTTCGCACCAGAATTCGTCCCGCCCTCGCCCAGCCACGCGACGAGGAGGGATGCATCGCAGTGCAGCGTGAGCCACGACAACGCAGAAGACATGTGAAGGCCTCGGGAGGGCCTCGCGGGAGCGTTTTGGAACCCTTTTGGAGCCTCCCCGGGCCACCCCGCCGTGCCTTGATCGCCGTGGGTGTGCCACTGGAGGTGCTTGCCGGCTTTGTGGGGGGACGTTTTCGCGCACTCACAAAAACGAGCTCAGGAGATGCGCGCTCGCACCCGCTCGCATCCAGGCGCGCTAAGCTCCTGGAGCCCTTTTGGGTGCGTCTCGGTGTCCTTTCCTGGGCCGTTCGGGGGTGTCCAACGGCCGTTTCTCGTGCCAACGGCTCTTTCCATTGGCATTGGCAATGACTTGGGGCCCCTTCTCAAGAAACCTCATGTGCCTGTATTGAAATGTTCGTGGGTGTTTCGAGCCGAGTTCGGCCGCTCCTGGGCCCGTCTGGAAGCTTTCTTGGCAAGCCAAAGCCCAGTCGAACCGAATCGGTCCGCAAGCGGACGTGGGCAGAAAACTTGTAATGCAAATGGGCGACGGAAAAATTACATGCTGGACCCAAACATGGGTTGCCCCCTGCATCTTAAGTGGGGTTCTTGTTTACTCGGGACACCAGCGCAGGAGCAAGAACACACACCCTTCATGATCGTTTCTAGCATCATTCCACCATCGCAATCGTCACTACCATCATCGCATCATGACCACCACCACCGTCATCATCACCACACCATGTTTCAACACCCGCCAACACCACCACATCACCACCATCATCCCAACATGTTTTCACAACCGCCCCCGTACCCACGCATTCATCTTCCGGGCTACTCGAGAATCCGCGCGGGAAATCGGGGACCTGTAGCTGTCGTCGATGTTTCGCTTCTTCAAGCTTGAATGAAAAAAGTCTTCGGCGGGAGCCTCGTCTCTGAGTGAATAACGAAAACGTGTCAGGCAACAACCCCCTCCCCGCAGGGCCCGCAGCTGATGATATTGATCCGACCGGGCCATCGCAGACTTGAAAGCTGTTTTCAAATCTGCCGACTCCAAGCTTGAACATGGAAGAACTCTCAGGCGGGAGCCTCGTCTGTGAGTGGGTACAAGGGAGCCTTTGGTACCCACCCACCCCATGGGGCCCGCCGGTCAAAATAATAACCAACAACATCATCATCCGAAAAGGTCGCCGGAAACGTGTGACTGTCGTCAGTTGCAGTCTTCAGACTTGAACATGGAGGTCCCGGGCGGGAGCTTCGTTTGCGTGTGCGTTGCGAAGGGATCCTCAGCGGGGGGCCCGCCCCTGCGCGGCCCGCAGCTCATGTCGACCAGCGGCAACTGGGGGAGCTGTGGTCCTTACCCCCCTGGGGTGCCCATCAGATCCAAGATTTGCTTTCCTGGTGCCCCCGCTCTCTCGATGAGCGCGACCAGCGCGTCGGCCATCGGGCCGGGGGTCGTTGTGCACGCGGCGAGCGGGACATTCTTAACTGAGTCATCAAGCGGTTTGTCGGGCGCGGCTCGCACAAACTGAGACATGTCCTGCTCAGCTGCGTCGCGCACGCCGCGCAA